AGCAGTGGTCATGGCATCTGATATCAGTAGAATAGCTCTGACTCCCTCACGACTGTAACTCAACACCACCTCATCTACATCTCAGGATCATGCAACACAGTGAGAAACATGTGAATCTGAAATCTGTTACAACCACACTTGGGTTTTTCTTCTCTCCAGACGTCTCTGGGCCAAATGTCTGTGTGACCAGGATGACCCTGTTATGTGACCATGCTCCTGGACCCATCACCATGGACCTGACAGGTACGCAGCACATTCACCAACAGCGACTGTAGCAGGCAGGATTCATAAAAATGTGATGATATAACTTTTATTATTCATGTATTTATGTAGTAATACTCCTGAGTACTCATTGACTGTTGGTCTCTTGTTTATTGCTTCTCTGTCTGGCTTTCCCTCTCCAACCAAACCCTGAGCTCTAGTGGATGTGGTGTGATGCTGCTCTGCCCTCATGTTACTGATATGCTCTGGAGCAAGGCATCCCACTCCACTGTGCTGCAGTTGGCGTGCAGAAAGACTGCAGTGGGTGTGTCCACGCTTGAGAGAGGAGACACAGCTAAATGTTTGCTTAGTGGGCAGTATTGACATTTTCCCCCGGGTGCAGGCGAAGGCGACAGGCAGGGGAGGAGAGTGAGGTGTAGGGTTATGTGTGCATCCGCAGCGCATTGTAATCAGGTGGCTGCAAGAAATTATGTCACAGAGGACAAAGTTGAGGATAAAGTCTGTGTGTGTGTGTGTGTGTGTGTGTGCGTGCATGTGTTCCTCATTACACTGCATCCAGACGCTGCTTTGATTCACACTCAAAAACTCCCAATCACAGACTGCAAAGACTAAAAAGAAAGGCCACCTGGTTGCTAGGCAATACTGACTTTGTACTTTACCATTTTCTCCATCTCAAACACAGAGAGATGTGCAAAGTACTTCACTGCCTTTTAATGAGCACGTTTCATCGTGTGATGGGAGATCTTCCATGTTTTGTTTTTTTTTAGCTTTGGCGTCAGTTACAGAGCGAATGAGAGGCAGATGGAAAACATTGACCTTTGACCTTTGGCCACCAAAACCGAATCACTTCATCTTTGACTCCAAGTTAATATTTGTACCAAATTTGAAGAAATTCCCAGAGACAACCATAAAAACATAATGCAGAGGCATAAAGACCATTCAGGCTCATGTTAACACTTGTTCACAGTTGTGTCCGTTTAATCTGATCTGCGTGTCTGTGGACTGTGGGAGGAAGCTGGAAGTAAAACCCATGCAGAAACAAGGGGGGACACGCAGGTCGAATAATAATTGACTTGAATTATGCTGTTCATGCAGTGGAATTAGAAAGAAAATGAGAAATAGCTTCATGCTGCAAGAGAAAATCGTCTCCCATCATAAATCTATAGCGTAAGCAGCAGTGTAATAATCTTTTTCTGCTGGTGTATCATGTTACACACAGATAGCCGAGCCGGCACCAGGCTCCATGTGAAATGGACTTTCTGTCCGTGGCTGAATGCATTAGAGATCTCATTATACACTATAGGCTGTTACCAGTGCTGCATGGTGCCCTAATTGATGACGGGCATTTACTGCTGTGTGTTTGTGTGTGTGTGTGTGTGTGTGTGGACAGAGAGAAGCTGCACCATAGCTGCTCTACACTCTGTGAAGTGAAGAAGAGAAAGGAGATGCTTGTTGTCCTATCAGCTTTCACCTCAGATGTTATTTGGGTCAGTGTCTCTGCCTGAACTTCTCAGAGCTGAATCTGATGTGATCTGTCTGCCGCACATCAAACCTCTGGGTCTCAGGACAGCTGCGTGGTCACGATCTGCTGAGAGCTCTTGAACTAACAACCTAAAATGACAGAAACCATCACAAAGATCTGGGAACATGTTCATCCGTCTGCAGGGCTCGAGAAGTCTTTGAGATTTATTACCTGAAGCTGCTTTCAGACTTGAACTCTGGGAAACGCCAGGAAAATGAGGTTGTCACATTTTCTTGACTTTCACACGTGAAGAAGTCAGCTGGTGTCTGTTCGGGACGCAGACAGTTAAACAGGATAATGATCCTTCAGTGAAGATGATTCACTACAAATTATCCGCTGACTTTGAAATTGAGATATTAAAGAAAGAGAATAAACATAAATATCTTTGAAATAATATGATTCACTCAGTCTGTTTATAGGATTCTTGCTTTAATCCATCACTTAGATTCCGCCTTAGATATCATTCATTACATCCCAACCTTCTTTAACTCCATGTGAATGCAGGCCCACTGAAATGCTTTCAGATTAATCTTCCACAAGAGCCGACAGTCATTTCAGCTCTCGCCGCTGCTCGTGTTTAGATCAATGGCCTGAATGTTTATGCACTGAAATATGAAAAACGATTTTCATCAGACTGAGCTGGCAGCAGAAAAAACAACTTGTGATATATTTCTGTGTCTCACTGGATACGGCAATAAGACGACCAGAGATAGAAATTCAATGTGGTCGGTCAGCCGTGCAGGAGCTGTGACCTAGTTTGGGTTGAAGGCTACGTTACACATCAAATTTCAAGAGGATTGTAACATTTTACTACGGAACATGTGCTGTAAACTGTGATTTCTATGCGGGGAAATCAAACTTTTATGATGACAAAGGAGTCCAGTACCACCTCTGTCCTGTTTCACTCTGAAATGACCATAACATCCAAACTCATATTTGTCTCAGTTAATGACGCACTACACAACAATATGTCTACGCTGTAAAGTTAAACACAACCGCACCTGCACTATGATATATGCTGTGTGATAAACTGTGCTGTGTATTTTGTGCCCTGCTGCCTGATCACATCACACAACGCAATATCCTTGAATATGACTTCTCAATGCTCCTCTGCACAAGATGCAAGCACATCGGCTTTGTTAAACTTTCATGGAGCCTGGGTTGTTTTGCTGAGCGTGCCACATAGTGCTGCACATTTACCCAGTCACACCGAGCACTCACTAATATTTACCTCAGCATTCTGTGTTGTGTGTCGAGTATCGCACAATGGTGTGTGTCGGTAACACACAGCCTCTGTAAGGATGTATCACTTGTAAAAATTGTGTCATGAAAGGAGTGAATGGACGTTCAGCTTGAATTTCCTCTGTGTGAACTTCACATCGAAATGTATGTGTGTGTGTGTGTGTGTGTGTG